GTACATTAAACAAATACTCCAATAATACTTGGATATTAAGGGAGTTTAGAATGAATATAAATCAATGTATATCGGCGATGCTATCATTGGAGATATAAGTTGAAGATTGCCTTGGTTTGTTGGTTTGGTTTGTGTTAAAACTTGACTAATGCATGGAATAATAATGCAACACAAAATCTACTTAGAACAAAATGTATTGAAACAAGAAAGTGTACATAATATTTACATATAGTCTTTTGTATATTCTTGGGAAGAACGTTCCTGGAGAATGTGTTGACTTAGTCGCAGTCGGCCAGAGTCTCTGGATTGAATCTCTTTATTCCTCCCCTTCTCTTCCCGGTACCAACCATATTTATATGGTCGGTACTCCACTATGCAAATTAGGTGGATCCTACCACAACAGTTTGTTTTACGGTATATCAACCTCAATGAGTTATTTAATGCCGACAAGATTTTTATTTCTGGCAATATTCTTTTTAAAAAATTTATTGCTAGTATTAAAACCGATTTTTACACTTTAATAGTATTTTGGGGGCTAACTATTTGTCCATAGCTGGAACACTAACAAGTGCTACCACCGCGGGTCAGGGTGGACCTGGGAACATCAGCAATTAAGAGGTGATCCCATGCTCCTCAAAACCTCCTGATCAGAGACCTTGCTGCCGAATGTAGTTTATCGTCTTACCTCGGATGCTAATGTATGCTAATATCGTCATACCCAAAACGCTATAATTTAAAAATATAGAAAAAGTAGGATCCTAAGCCCTAAAGTCTCTCTCTTATTCTGTGGGTTCAGGTATTGTTTTTCCGACTAAAGAGGAAGTAGACAAAATGATGGTAGGAGACTGTTGTGTCGGAAACCTACCACCCCTCTTGAAGATGAACTTGTCTGCGTCTGTGAACAAAGACTTTAAATAGTGGCATGTCAGTTGACATGGGAAAGATAGATAGACAGAGAGAGTAAGACCTCCGAGTCTAGCTGAGTCGTGATACAGTCTTTGACTGTAAGCGACGTCTGTCGAACTCTCTGCTAACGCAGAGAGGAACCCGGACGAAGCTTTGCCGAAAGGCAAGGTTTCGTCCGGGGAGGTAGACAGGGCCTGAACCCGTCTAGGCGGATTCAAAGGCTATATTTTTGGCCGAGCCTACGGGTTCGGAGATACCCACATTAAACTGGCCTTGTGCCACATTCAATCCTCGTGGGTGGATCGATAAATACTAAGATAGAGAGACAGAGAAGTTCTTAGCTGAGCTAGTTATTGACTACTCAGGCGATTTCTGTACCTTTTTACCAAACTATTAAAACCCTTTTTATTGTTACGTGTTATTTGGCGTTTGTCTCTACTAACCCCAAATCGACATCATAACAGAGACACGGCGGAATAATGGATAGTGGTTTGGATTTTGAGATCGGAGAGATGAGTTGGAATTCCAATCGAATTTCTTACATTCACTTACTGGCAAATTCGCTTGGGAATACTTTGGGAAAGCTGTAAAATCATCTCTCCTCCCGCCACCAGCAACGTCATTAATTACGTCTAATTAATGTCTAAAAACAGAACTGTGATGATACCCCAGACTTAGCTGCAACCCCTAACCTCTACGCATGTTTTTGCGTTTGTGTTTTACAATGATGTAGAATTCTGCCAATTTTGCCATAAAAATGGACTTTTAAGTCTCTTAAATAGCAGGAAAATAATACAAGAATATTTTAAACATGTTCTATCGAATCGAAGGAGTTCCCAGCGAATAATTTATACATATGTTCTTCAGAAAAACCCGTGAATATTCGGGGTTTCCGCGAATAGCAAGTACATATATTCTAAAGAAAAATCCGCGAATGTATGAAGCCGTGAATGTTGAAACGCGAATAGGCGGGGACTCACTGCATTCTCAAAAGAAAAACGTACAAGACATTACAAAGGACTTAATAAAGTCGAACCTACTATCGAATTTACACACAAGAAAGAAATCAAGAACTATTTACTCTTTCTCGTCTTTCTATTAATTTGAAATAGAAACAAGTTAGAGGTTCCATGTTTACTGAAAACAAACTATCTATATGATAGATTGCATACCATACTATAAACATCGAGAAATATGAATATGAAAATCTGCTTTTATGAATGCAAAACAAATAAAACAGTTCATCCATTTGATTTCTAAAATGCTAATAATTTTTTAAAAAATGTTAGAAGATTACTAATGTGATTTTTTTTGACTGTACCCTCTGACAGGAATCAAACCCTCTTCCTTTGAAGAGAAAACAGTTGTTTCATCCGGCTTGCTTTATCGATCGGCCTCAAAAGGTCTCGCCGTAAGCAAGGCTTTTTTCTTATATTTAAGGAAAGTACATCCCATTCTCCCAGAGACCTTATACAATCTTCAAACGTCTCGTCTGAGAAATGGCTTGCAGGGTGGAAAATAATTCATCGCCCACAAGGACGCGGAGACGCTTTTGGACTCTATCGAGAGTGGAAAGCGAAGACTGGGCGGCTCCTCCCCATATATGGTAGAAATAGTCAAT